ACAAATGAAAGAACCTGAGGCGTCAGGTGAGAAATGCCAGGAGAACAGAACCCTGAAAATGTCGGGAGAAACAAAAAAAAAAAAAAAAAAAAAAAAAAAAATTCAGGTTTTAGATGTAACAAGGAAGGTTCGTGAAGGAAATGAATGAGGGGGGGCCAGCGGGTGGAGAGGAGACGGTACCTGCGTCATCTTCTCTCTGTTGGCCTTGGGGTTCAGGGGAGCCTCTGTGAGCAGCACCGGGTGCTCCTCGGGGGCCACTCGCAGCTCGTTGTAGAAGGTGTGGTGCCAGATCTTCTCCATGTCATCCCAGTTGGTGACAATGCCGTGCTCGATGGGGTACTTGAGGGTCAGGATGCCCCTCTTGCTCTGCGCCTCGTCCCCCACGTAGCTGTCCTTCTGCCCCATGCCCACCATGACACCCTGCGGAACCGAACGGGTGAGTCAGCGCCGCCCCCGCCGCGCCCCGGCCCCAGCCCCGAGCCCGGCCCGTATCCCCCGCCCGCCTCACCTGGTGCCGAGGGCGGCCGACGATCGAGGGGAACACGGCGCGGGGAGCGTCGTCCCCGGCGAACCCGGCCTTGCACATGCCGGAGCCATTGTCGATGACGAGTGCGGCGATTTCCTCTTCCATGGCGGAGACTGCGGCGGGAGGGAGGAAGGGAAGGGCCGGGTCAGCGCTCGCCGCGGCCCCGGGAGGAGCCGCTGGCGCCGGGCCATGCCCGGCCCCCCCCCGCTACAGCGCCCCAATGGTTTCTTCCATTTGAATAGCCCATTTGAATCTCCCGCTCGCTGACGTCACCCGCCGCCTCCACCAATCACGGCGCAGCCCCCCCCTCACACCCCCACCGGCCCGTACCCACGGCCGACACCATCCCAACGCGGCGCGGGGGGCACGGGGGGAGGACATGCGCTACTCAGCCACAGCCCATAGCGGGGCCGAATGGAACCCATCGTAATAAAAACTGTCTACCCCGGTTCCCGGTGAATGCGGGGAAAGGGGCGGCGGGGGCGCGTGCGGGGCCGTGCAGTACCTGCTGCGCGGGGGTCGCTTCTGTGGGCGCTGCGGGGACGGTGCCGCCTGGTCCGCTGCCGCCGGCTGAGTGAGACCGCACGGCTGCCAGCCCCACGCTTTTATACCCGGGGGCCGAGAGCCCCGCCTCCTCGGCCGAGAACATCGCCATATATGGAGATCTTTCAGAAACAGGCGCTCTCATTGGCTGGCGCGGCCCAGGCCACGTGGGGCGGCTGCCGGGCTGGCCCCGCCCCACGGCACCCCGGAACCTGCATGGGGCGGGGGGGTGCGGGGGGGGCGACCCCCGGCTCCGGCAGGACCCCCCGAACCCGGCGGGACCCCCCGGCCGCGCTCCCCTCCCGGGCAGCTCCGGAACCCCTCCCGGCAGCGTCTCCGGGAGTACCGGGCCCCCGCGGGCCTGGCCGGGCCTGGCCCCGCACCCCAAAGTCGGGACCGCGCCCCCCACCCTGGGCAGCACCGGGCAGCTCGTGCACCCCCGCCAGGCACCGGGAGCCCCCCCCACCACGGCACCTGCACCCCACACCCGGGCACCGGGACCCTCCCATTCATGGCACCTGCACCCCTACCTGGCACTAGGACCCCCCCTCTTACCCACCTGCACCCCCACCCAGGGCACCCAGGGTCCCCCCACCCATGGGTCCTGCACACCTCACCCATGACACCCACCCGGCACCCCCCAACCGTGCTCCCCCCTCTCAGCACCGGGCTGGGGACCCTCGGTGCACCCCAACTCATCCCCAGCTGCACTCTCGACTCTGCCCTGCACCCCCCAGGTGACACTGCATGTCCCAGAGGTGACACCTCTCACCGGTGGGTTGGGGCACCCCCTGCCCCCCCCCCCGTGCCCCCCCAGCACCACTGGCGCACCTGAGCTGTCCCTGCACCGCACACCTGTGCTGACATCCCAGTGACCCCAGTGACACCCCGGGCTGAGCCACCCCAGCCCCACTGGAGCCCCAATTCCGGCACCCCCAGCCTGGGGGCTCCTCATGCCGCAGTCCCTTTTCCTCGGGGGGTGCCCCGGGCCTTGTGCCCCCTCTGCCATGGGTGGGGTCACGGCCATGGCTCCCACCTGTGCAGTACCACACAGGTGTGTGCCAGGGGTGGGGTCCTGGGTGGTCCTGCAGTGGGACCAAGTAGCCACGCCCCATGTCAGGTAGCCGTGCACTGTGTCAGGTGCCACATATGACGTCAGGTAGCCTTGTACCCTCTCAGGTAGCCATGTACTATGTCAGGTAGGCACACACTATGTCAGGTAGCCACACGCTGTGCCAGAGGCCCAGGCACCACACCAGGTAGCCGTGTACCACCAGGTAGCCATGTACCATGTACCAATTCAAGTAGCCACACCCCATGTCAGGTAGCCACACCCCATGTCAAGTAGCCATGTCATGTCAGGTAGTCACATACTGTGCCAGGTACCCATGTCCCACGTCACATTAGCCATGTCGCAGGCTAAGTAACCACCTATCCCGCCAGGTACCGTGCTAGGTAGCCACAAGTTGTGCCAGAGGCTCACGCATCAGCCACCCGCGCCAGCTCCTGGTGCCACCCAGGCCCATGGCAGTGGTGGCCACTGGCGTCGCCATCCCCACGTCCCACGGGACTCCCACCCCTGTCCAGCCCTTCCCAGCAGCTGCCGGTGCCACCGGCATGGGTGACACGGGGATTGTCGGGGCTCGGAGCCGGCAGAGACTCGGGATGGACCCGGGGGGGTGACGGGGGTCCGGGAAGGACCCGGCACAGCTCGAGGGGTCTCGTGTCCCCGCGCCAGCGCCGTGTCCCGCTGGGCTGTGGTGGGACATGGAGGGCTCGGGGGGGCCGCACAGGCGACACCCGCGGGTCCCCAGGGGACATCCCTGCCGCTCCCCCCGGCCGGACACAGCACCGGGGCCGCCTCGCGTGGGCCGCCCCCACCCGTGACTCAGGGCGGGCAGGGCCGGCCAGGGAGGGGCAGGGGCGGGAGGACGAGGAGGAGGAAGAGGAAAAGGAGGAGGAAGAGGAGGAGGAAGAGGAGGAGGAAGGCACCACCCCCGCCCCGCCCCGCCGCCCGTTGTCCGTCCGTCCGTCAGTCCCCGCTGCCCGTGCGCAGGGGAGGAGTGATGGGGTGGCGATGGGGGAGGTCCCATCTCGCAGGTCCCTGATCCCCATCCTGATCCCCCACTGGATTCCCCCGAACCCCTGCCCTGACGCCCCCAGCCCTCTGGGGCACGGTTGAGACCCCCCTCATCCCTCTGCCAGCTCCCTACCAGGGATTGGGGCCCCCGGGTGGCGCAACAGCCCCATGTCCCTGCCTGGGGAAACCAGGAGGGGCTCCCACCCCCCAGCACAGCCAGCACCCCGACACCCTCCTGACCACGACCTTCACCCCAAGACCCTGCCTGACTCCCCCGGGAATGTAAGGCACAACTGAATCCCCCCCTTCCCCTCTACCAGCCCCTCACCAGTGCTGTGTACTGGGGTACCCCGACCCCCGCAGCCCAGCACCCTCATTTTCCTCCTGGGAATAATGTTGGATGGAAATCGGGGGGTCACCCACACCAGTCCCCTGCGATGCCCCGACCAGAGGGGCTGTCACGAGCATGTCCGGTCTCAGCAGCCCTCAGTGGGGAGGGTCTGGCTGTCCCCAGGCCGAGGGGACACAGGGACACGCTGTGCCTGTGGGTCAGAGCCCACGGCCCCCCCCGAGGGGAACCTGACCCCGCCGGGGGGGCCGGCGGGGGGACCGGGATGTATAAATGCCGCTCCCGGCTGCGCTGCCAGGCAGGTGCCTGCGGGCACCCACCGAGAGCCACGCGGCCACTCCGCCACCCACGGCCCCCCCGAACCCCCAGGACCCTGACCCACTTATTCCACCCGCGGAGCGGCCCGAAAGCCGAGCCGGCTCCGTTTCGGGGGTCAGTTACAGCGGCCGGGCAGTCGCGGCTCGGGTGTCGCGGCTCGGGGGGCCTCGGCACCCCCCGGCGCGAGCAGAGCCAGCCCGGCATGAAAAAGTCATGAGCAACCAAAGCTGGGCCTGTTTGCGGGAACAATAACCGGGCACCGGGATGACACCGGAGCCGCAGGGCCGGGGGGACGGCGGCGGGAGCCGATGCGGCATCGCCACGGCACGGCCGGACCCCGGCTCGGGGAATCGGGGCACTTCGGGGGGCCCATGTGGTGGCAGAGCCGGTCCCCGCCTGTCCCCAGGTGCCCCCGGTGCAGCGTGGCCGAGGCCGGGGGTCCCTGCGGCTGCACCTGCCCTGGCTGGGGGGTTCCAACAAGGCTGGGGTTGGAGTGGGGAGTGTCCCCTACGCCGCTGTCCCCTCCTGTCCCCCACGTCCCCATCCTCTCCTGCCAAGAGGCCGGACCCTCATCCCTGTCATGAGTTCCAGTCGAGCTCAGCCCCGAAGGAGCCCACGCCCAGGGGTTGGCTGCGGGGGCTTGGGGGTGTCCGTGACCCCGATCCACAGCTGCAGGAGGGATTTGGGGCCACAGGACAGATGGAGGCCAAGGGCCCCAAAGCAGGATAAAAGGTTTACACTAATCAAAATGCCTGGCTAATTGGAAAAGGCGCTTAGGGGCTGGCCGGGAGGCGGCGCGGCTGGAGGTGACCCGCTGCTGAATCAGAGGGGCCGGTAACCTTAACCCGCCGGGATCGGAACGGATACGCCGGCCCGGATCGAGTTCCCACCCAAGTTTTCCACCCGCGGCTCCGCCACAGCCGGACGGGGCCGCGGCGAGGGACGGTGGCGTGGCCGGGGGCTGCCGCGGTGCCCCCTCGCCCGGGCACCCCCGGTGCCCACCGCAACCCGGCCGGTCTCTAATCCCACCTGCGGGTAATCGATCGATCGCAGCCTCCCGGGCCCCCGTCCCGCTCCGTTCGGCCCCGCCGCGGGAGCTCCGTCCGGCCCCGCCGCGACGCCCGGGCTCGGCAGCGCCGGGGAGCCCCCGCCGGCCCCCGGGGGCCGCCCCGCCTCGGCGGAAGATGCCAACGAATGGGATCCACCAGGTGCTGAAGATCCAGTTCGGGTTGATCAACTGCGAGAGCCGGTACCTGACGGCGGAGAGCTTCGGCTACAAGGTGAACGCCTCGGCGCCCAGCCTCAAGCGCAAGCAGATCTGGACGCTGGAGCAGGATGAAGCCGACAGCTCCATCGTCTTCCTCAAGAGCCACCTGGGCCGCTACCTGGGCGCCGACAAGGACGGGAAGGTGCGCTGCGAGGCGGAGCAGCCGGGCCGGGATGAAGGCTTCAACATCATCACGCAGTCGGACGGGCGCTGGGCGCTGCAGTCGGCCCCGCACCGGCGCTTCTTTGGGGGCCGCGAGGATCGGCTGTCCTGCTTCGCCCCCAGCGTGACGGAGGGCGAGCTCTGGACCGTGCACCTGGCCATGCACCCCCAGGCCAACCTGCTGAGCGTCAGCCGCCGCCGCTACGCCCACCTGAGCGCCCACGAGGACGAGATCGCCACCGACAGCAACCTGCCCTGGGGGGTGGACGCGCTCATCACGCTCTGCTTCCAGGACAAGAAGTACAGCCTGCGCACGGCCGACGAGCGCTACCTGCGCTGCGATGGCACCTTGGTGCCCGAGCCCGGTGCCGGAACCGGTTACACCCTCGAATTCAAGGCCGGCAAGTTGGCGTTCAAGGACTGCGACGGGAAATACCTGGCGCCCACCGGACCCACCGGCACCCTCAAATCCGGCCGCAGCTCCAAGCCGGGCAAAGATGAACTCTTTGACCTGGAGGAGAGTCACCCCCAGGTGGTGTTCACGGCGGCCAATGGCAGATACGTCTCCATCCGGCAGGGTAAGAGCTCCCCACACCCCCTGCCCGCTCCGTGCCCACCCAGGGACCCCCCACCCCAGGGGAGACCCCACAGTAACAACCCCACAGCGCTGCGCCTGCCTGGGGGGGATCCTACAGCCACATCCTGGGGACGTGGCTGCTGGAGAGGGACATGGCGGGGGTCCTGAGGTCAGTGAGGATGGAGTGGGAGCAGCTGCGGGGTGGGCAGGGCTGCGGGGGGAAGGCGTGGGTGTGTGTGGACACACGTGTGTGCATGTGCAGGGCTGTGTGTGTGAACACGTGCAGGGCTGTAGGTGTGCACAGGTGTGTACGTGCATACACACACATACACACACACAGGTGTGCCCTGCTCCGTGCAGCATCCACAGGTTCACACACTTGCCTGTGCACACCACACACGATGCTCTGTGTGCACACACGTGTGTAGAGCCAGTGGATGTGACCACAGGTGAGCAAACCCCTTGTTTGAGACCCAAGGGACCCCACTCGCCCCCAGGTGCCCCCCGGGGACGGTGCCACCCCTGTGCCAAGCAGCTTAGTGCCGGGTGAGGGGGGGACCAGCTATAAATAGGGGTTTGTGACCAGATGGACACGGTGGTGACAAGCTGATTAACCAGCCCAATTAGCACAATTGTTCGCAGGAGGATTTGGGGGGGAGGGGGAGGGTGGCTGTGGGGCAGCAGCGGTGGTGGTTGGCGTGGGACAATGGCTGGAATGGGATTGGTCCTGATGGCCAGAGCAGGATCGGTGCCAATGGCCAGAGTGGATCAGTGACCATGGACACAGTGGTGACAGTAGCCAACAGAGTGGAACCGATACCCATGGCTGGAATGGAATTGGTCCTGATGGCCCGAGTGGGACTGGTGACAACAGCTGGAGTGGGATCAGTGACTGTGGAGTGAGATCGGTGACCATGGCAAGGCTGAGACTGCTGCCCAGGGCCAGGACAGGACCAGTGCTGGCAGTCAGAGAGGAACCAGGGCCAGTGGCTGGAGCAGGAGTGGTGCTGATGGCTGGAGTGTTACCTCTGCTCACATCCAGAGCAGGACCAGCACCAACACCCACTCTCCCCCCAGGTGTGAATGTCTCAGCAAACCAGGACGAGGAGCTGAACCACGAGACCTTCCAGCTGCAGATCGACCGTGACACCAACAAGTGCAGCCTCCACACCAACACCGGCAGCTACTGGACCCTGGTGGCCCACGGGGGCATCCAGGCCGTGGCCACTGAAATGTGAGTGAAGCTGCAGGGTGGGATGGAGAGGTTTGGGGCGACACAGAAAACGCCCAATTCACGTTGTCCCTCTGTCCCCAGCGCTGCCAACACCATGTTTGACATCGAGTGGCGCGGGCGGCGCGTGGCCCTGCGCGCCAGCAACGGCCGCTACGTCTGCACCAAGAGGAACGGGCAGCTGGCGGCTGTCAGCGACACCGTGGGTAAGTTCTGGGGGGGACAAGGGGGCACGGAGGGGTCCCTGGGATGCTGAGGGCCGGGTGCTGTGCAGGGGAGGATGAGGAGTTCACTCTGAAGCTGATCAACCGCCCGATGCTGGTGCTGCGGGGGGAGCACGGCTTCGTCTGCTACCACCGGGGCTCCAACCTGCTCGACTCCAACCGCTCCGTCTACGACGTGTTCCACATCAGCTTCAGCGACGGCGCCTACCAGATCCAAGGTGGGCAGGGCGGGGCTGTGGGGTGGGGTGGCCCTGGGGGTTCGTCCAGCCTGCACTGACACCACCCCCCCCCCGGGGGCTCCCTGCAGGCCAGGGGGGCAAGTACTGGTACGTGGCGAGCAGCGGCTCGGTGTGCAGCGACGGGGACCTCTCCGAGGATTTCTTCTTCGAGTTCCGAGAGCGGGGCCGCGTGGCCATCAAAGGGAAGAACGGGCGGTACTTGCGCGGGGACCCTGCGGGGACTCTGCGTGCCGACAGCGAGTCCGTGCTGCGGGCCACGCTCTGGGAGTACTGACCCCAGAACCTCCCCCGCGGCCACCGCCGCCCACGGGCACCCCCCTGTCCCTGGCAAAGCGGGGTGGTGGCAGCGGTGGCACCGTCCATGACAGCTGTGCCCCCGCCCCTGCCATTCACGGCATTAAAGTCACCTGGATCACACTGGGGCAGCGCCGCGTCCTCCTTCCCATCGAGATCCAGCCCTGCTTCCCTCCCAGAAGCGCCCAGACCTCATGGAAACGGCTGATCCGGGGGCCGGTGGGATGCAGGGACTCCCAAGGGTGTCACACGGGATGAGGGGGGGGCTCAGCAAAGCCACTGCAGGCAGGAGGAGCCCGAGGGGGTTGGGGAGCCCGGGGCTCCTCTGCCAGGCTGGGGGTGCACGGGGGTGGCAGTGGAAACCCCCCACCCCCGAGAGCTGCCAGGACCCTCCTGGAGGATGGAAAGGAACAGAGCCAGGCACCGGGTGAGCAACAGGATCGTTTTCATGGCAGACGACAGAGTTACAGACAGTGGAAAGGTGCGGGAGGGGCCGGGACCGGACCACGCCGCACCAGCATGGAGATACGAGATCATTTATAGAAACAACGGGGGAGCGGAGACCCCCTCCCCTGCCCAGCAGAAAACGGGGCTCCCCCGGGCACAGCACCCTGTTTGTCCTAATCCTGAAGGCGGCTCGGGGGGCTCAGCCCGCGGCCGGCCCGGCTCGGCACGGCCACTACACTACCACGGATCCACAAGACAGCGCGGCCCCGGGGGGCTGCCCCGGCCTGGCCGGGCTGGGGGGCGGCGGGGCAGGACTGGGCCAGCCCAGGAGCCCCCGCTCCGCCACCGGAGCCCCGAGACCCTCCCGGTGCTGCCGACAACACGACCACGAAACACGCACAGACACACCCCCCGCCCAGACCGCCGCCGGCCCCGCGCCTGCTCTGGTGGGGTTGGGGTGGGGGGCTCTCCCGTGGGTCCCCACCCCGGCCGGCGGGGTTTGGGGCGGGCTGGCCGCCCCCCGCTCACAGCAGGACCAGGCTGGGGTTCCGCAGCTGCCGGTAGATGTTCAGGAGCTTCTCGGCTGTGGCAGAGCCATCAGCCCCCTCCTCGCCCAGGGGTGGCTGGTCCCGGAGGGTCTGCGCCTCCTTCAGCAGCATCTGCGGGAGGGGGGCGGGGGGTGAGGGGCAGGGTGGGGTGGGGCTCCCCACGGGGAGGGGATGGGGGTCTCACCTCGTGGTTGGCCTGGATCTGACGCAGGTACTGCATGCGGAGGTCGGGGGGTCCCGAGCCCTGCGCCGCCTGCTCCAGCACCAGCGCCTGTGCGAGGGAGAGAGGGAGGGAGGGAGAGAGGGAGGGTGCTGGGGGAGCTGGCAGCACCCAGCCCCAGGGACCTCAGTCCCAGGAGCCCTAACCCCAGGGATCCCCAGCTCTGGGACTCTCAGCTCCAGCAGCCTCCAGATCCTGAGAGCCCCAATCTTGGGAATTCCCAATCTCAGGGAGTCTGAATCCTGAGGAGTCCCAGCCACAAGGAACGCCCTGAACCTTGAGGAGTCCCAACGTCAGGGCAGCCCAAGCTCCAAACCTGGGACCCCAAAGTCTGGGGACTCCCAGCCCCAGTGGTGCTGGTCTGTCACACCACGGTGTCACAGAAATGCCCCCCACTGCACCCCAGGCTCTATTCCAGGGGGTTTGGGGTCACTTGGGGTCCCCCCTGCCGCCGGGGGGGTACCTGGATGCGCCGGATGACGGCGTGGTGTGTCCTGCACATGTGGGCCAGGGATGGGCTCTCCATCAGGATCTCCACAGCCTGGATGGGACCTGCAGGGCTCAGGTCATTCATGGCCACCTGGGCAGTGAGAGCAGTGTCACTGCCACCCTCTCTGGGCAGTGGGAGTCCAGGACCCTCCTCATGGGCACCGAGTTCCCCAGAAGGCTCCAGACACCCCCAAAACCTCCCACCTCTCCCAGGAGCAGCTGCCCCCAGCTACCAGGTGAGCCCTGGCAGAATTAAGTCACTCATCACTCTGGGGACATCTGATCTCTTAGGTGCAAATATATCTGTGCCAGGTACCTGGGGGCCCCTCAGGTGGGGTCAGGCAGGCAGGAGAGCTGGGCAGAAATCCCTGTTCTCCTTGTGCCTTTAGAGGGGAATTCTGCTTGGGGTGGATTTACAAACCAAATCCAAGTGCGTTTTCTAGAATCAAAGAAATGAGAAGATCTGGAAAGGGAGGGAAATGACCACAGCCTTTGGGAAGCCCAGGGTTGGGAGAATGGACTGGGAATGCTGCCTGTGCAGCCCAGCACTGGAACCCCAGCCCCAGAGGAAGGGGTCAGAATGGCATGGCCATGCACCCACTCATCTCCCTGGCTGGCTTTGTGGGACAGGGAGCTTCCCTGCAGGCTGACCCATTCCTTGGCTCAGGGCTAACCCATTCCTTGCCTCTCTGACGAGCAGCTGGACGTGGCCACCGTCGGGTGCCATGCCACACACCGATGCCACCTCCGTGCTGCTCAGCACCTCAGCCCCGGGGTTCTCAGCCAGCAGCCAGCGCAGGGTGGCACAGCAAAGTGGGACATCTGGGGACCAAAGGACAGAGCAGAGATGTGACACTGCTGACAGCCTGAGGCAGCCCCTGAGGGGGCAGGGGTAGCACAGGCTGGATCCCCCTCCCCGCTGGGACACGCTGAGCTCAGTCATGCCACTGCCACACGTGTCAAGGCTGCGGTGGGGGCAATGGGGTCACACAGCCCTCCTTGCTGTGGGAGGGGCTGTGACAGTGCCACCCTGCCAGCACACCTGCCCCTGGATGCCTCTGTCACTCCTGGGATGCTCCTCTCCAGGGACCCACCTGTTTCCGAGGTTTTGAGAGCATTTTTCAGCAGCTCCGAGGACACTCGGATGGATGCTGCCGAGGGGGGCAGCTTCTCCTCTCCCGGGGTTTTCCCCTCCTTGGGTTCAGTCTGTTCCTGGGACACTTTGAGGAAGGTCTCCACAGGGTCTGAGGGGGCAGGGGGGGCGTCGGGCCCGGAGGGGCTGCTCCCGAAACGGAGGCACTGGAGCATGTCAATGGTGCATTGGCTGAGGGGCAGGCAGATCCCCTCTCTGTCTGGGGACAGCAGGGGCGAGTCGTCGGGCAGGAAATCATCCAGGTCCTCGGAGGAGTCGGAGCCACTGCCCAAAATATCCCTTAAACTGTAGTAGAGGGCACAGGAGATGGTCAGAGGCAGGTCCAGCTTGGTGTCTGCAGCAGGGCCGAGGGGCAGCGTCAGCTCCCGCTTGTTCCCAGGGAGCAGCTGGTCAATGGGGAAGGTGAAGGTGGTGGCCGAATCCATGGATTCCTCCTCTAAGGCACAGGGGCTGGCCAGGAGCTGGACACAGAGGGTCCAGCCCTCCTCCAGGCTGTACTCGCTGCAGTTTTCCAGCAAGCAGGAGATGGTGACGGTGTCCTGGAGCAGGAGGCAGCTCCAGTTGGCAGTGACGGTGCAGGCGATGGGCTTGTGGCCCTCCTGGCTGGAGAGCAGCGCTGCACTCACGTTCATCACCTGGTTCAGGCTGGCCAGGGCTCGGTTCCTCTGGTCCACGGCCTTCTTCAGGAAGGACACTCTGCAAGGACAATGTGACAGGGATGAAACAACGGGAGGGATGCCAGGATGGCGCTGTGCTGGCAAGCTGAGCTGCTCCTGGGATAATCCCACCCAGCTTCTCTGCCGTGGCAGCCACAGATCCATGTTCCCATCAGAGCTGATCCTGTGGAGTGGCTCCAGACCTCAGGAATCCCCCTGTGGATGGAGGGGGGGCCCTCACCCACAGCCCCTCCCCACACACAGCCAGCCATGGAGGATGGAGGCATGTGCCTGCCCTGCCTGTTACTGCCGGCTTGGCACGCGTGGCAGGCGCCTGGCACCCTGCCTGTGCCACCTTCTGCTGCCATGGCTGCCGCTGCCAGCCCGCCCACAGCGCTGGGGGTGGCTGTGCCATGGGAGGGGGCTGCCCTCAAACACTGGTTTTATATTATCGAAGTTGGGGGGGGCTTCCCAGCCAGGAAAGGTAAATGCTGGAGCAGTTTTCCAAGAGAAAACCTCGAGGAGAGATGGGGGTGTTCAGCCTGGAGAAAAGAAGGCTCCAGGGAGACATTAGGGCCCCTTACAGTGCCTAAAAGGGCTCCAAGGGAGCTGGAGAGGTACTTTGGACAAAGGCCTGGAGTGAAGGATAAAGAGGAATGGCTTCCCGCTGCCAGAGGCCAGGGTTACAGGGGATATTGGGAAGGAATTGTTCTCTGTGAGGGTGGAGAGGGTCTGGCACAGGTTGCCCAGAGAAGCTGTGGCTGCCCCTGGATCCCTGGAAGTGTCCCAGGCCAGGCTGGATCAACCTGGGATAGTGGAAGGCGTCCCTGCCCATGGCAGGAGGTGGAATGGGATGAGCTTTAAGGTCTCTCTTACTCAAACCATTCTGTGGTTCCATAATTAATTACTGGCAATGACCTGCCCAACCCCCAGCTTGGTGGCACCTTTACCTCTCCGAGGTGTCCCCTATCCCCGAGAGCAGCTCCTTGATCCTCCGGCCGATCTCAGCAGGGGTCAGCTCCACGTCCGGCTCCTCGGGGCTGCACAGGCCACAGGACACGAGGCGGCCCTTGGCTGACAGGGCCAACAGCTCTGACTCCCCTGTGGGCACAGACAGGCGGGTCAGGGGCCAGGAAGGGAGCAGGGGCTTCCTGGATGGCTGAGGTGCAGGGACAGGAAGCAGGATGGCAGTGGGATATGATGGAGACAAACATGGAACACCACAGCACACCCTGCTCACACACACAGACCCTCAAGAGGGGGTGACACCCTGCGCCTGCCACTCCCCAGCCAAGGCCAGCAGCACCCGGCTGTCACACAGGGGCCCTGCTGGTGGCACACGCAGCTCTGCAGACAGCCAGTCCAGAGGCACATCGAACACCCCCTTGGTTGCTCATCCAAGCTGGCTTGGGGTTGTCCCAGGCTACCCCACACAGGAATCCCATGGCTGTGAGGACTGGCCGGTTCCTGCAGTGCTGAGCTGAGGGATTGGGAATGGGCAGGAATCACAATGGATAGGAACAACTCACAAAGCCAAGGGGAACCAACAAGGATGAAAGACAGAGCCCCACCCAGCCCACACGGAACTGCAGAGCGAGGAGAGGTGGGATCCCACCCCGCTGCCCCCAGTACCTTCTGAGGCCCGAGAGGACAAGGAAAGAGCCACGACGCTACAGATACTGAGGCTGGCCGGGGACAGCACTGGGGGCAGCACGCCGGTGCCACTCTCCGTGTCCTCGGGGTCCGAGGAATCGCCCGCCCAGTCCAGGTCGACGGCGGAGATGTCCGAGTGGGTGCTGTAGTACATGCGGGAGCCGCTGCCGCAGGCCGCGCACAGGATGGGCCCTCGCAGGTAATACTCCCTGAGCTCCGGCACCGTGGCCTCCTCCCTCTGATCCGCCTTCACGGCCACCATCTTCCCGTAGTGGCCCACGGCCACCACGCAGTCACAGCCGGGCTCGCCCGCGGGCGGCTCGTCCTCGGCGTCGTCGTCGTCGTCGTCGGCCGCGCGGCGCTCGGTGCGCAGCGCCCCGATGAACACGATGGGCTCCTCCAGGTGGTGCAGGATCTTCACGGGTGGCGCCGGGGTGGACACGTCACGGCAGCCGTCGGCGGTGGGTGATGAGCTCAGAGCTTTGAGGGGCACGGAGCAGAGCTGCCCATCCGGGAAGCCACACAGGATCATGGGCGACTCCATCATGGCCACGTCGATGCCGAAGAGGAGGCTGAAGAGGGGCTCCTCCAGCACGAAGCCCCCCGAGCACCACAGCCCCTGGGTGCCGGGCGCGGCCGCGCAGCACAGCACGGGCAGGAAGCAGGAGGGTGGCGCGTCCCCCACATCCCCAGGTGGGGTCCCGGGGCAGAATTCCACCTGGCTGACCTGCCGGTACGGGGGCCCGTCCTGCTCCGGGCGCGGCAGCTCGTGCAGCCGCATCCACCACTTGCCCTCGTCCTGGGCCAGCGTGATGACGAAGGTGCTGAGCAGGGTGAACATGCTCAGGCTGGCGTCGGGGAAGATGCAGGCGTCTGCTTCCACCGGGAAGACGCCGGAAGGGCCGTTGCTTTCTTGGCCGTCGCCGTCCGTCTGCTCCATTAACCTTTGGGAAAACAGGGAAGAGCTCTGAGCCAAGCCGTGGGGAGAAGCCAGCGTGTCCCTTGGCCGCCTCTTTGCCTGGCCCTGGGAAATGAACTCTTGCGGGAGGGCTTTTAGCACTGGCAGAGAGGGATCCAGAGCCTCACGCTTCCCATGGCAGGAAGGGCACCCCGGGAGCCCAGGGACAGGGGGTGAGCCCAGGCTCACCTGCTCTGCTGCTCCAGGGACACGCAGTAGATCCCGCTGTGGGCGCACAGGATGTAGAGCTGCCGGGGCTGGGGCAGCAGCTCCACGTGCCACACCTGGTCGGGGCAGCGGTACACAGCCTGGCAGTGGGGACAGAAACAAATGTCACCTCCCACGGCACCCGGAGGGGCGGCAGGGACAAGGCAGCTCCCTGCAGAGGGGGATCCAAAGCGATTTCCAGGGACAAACAGATCCCTGGGCAGCACCCAGCTGGGTGTTCCTGGGCAGGGGGGTGGGAGAGAGGCTGAGGCAGCCTGTCATTCCCGCTCCCTGAGGGGAAGGAAAACAGGGAGCAGGGTACGTGCTCTACTTTGCCGAGCGGGAGCGCAGTGTGGGAGGCAGATCCCGCTCTTACAGCGGTGGATTTCTTAGAAATGATAATCAGAACAAATTAACAAAGGCAGCAGCGTGTCAGTCAGGCTGCTGTGACAGCAGGGACAGCCACCAGGTCTGGGGGGAGAGGGGAGAGAAGCCCCTGTGCTGGGGGGAATGAGCCTGTGGAGTCTGATCCAATGGGTGTCCCACAGGATTGGGAGAGGGGCCAGCTGGCAGCACCCCCAAACCCCAAAACAAAGGGTGCTGCTTGTAGGGTTTGTTTGTTGGATCCTGACAGAGGGAATCTAGGCATAGGGAGTGGAGACATGACTGGGGGTATCACCATGGGATGGGGGACACAGGATGAACCCCCACCCCGCCAAGCCCCTCACCTTGAGCACTTTGCCCTCCTGGTCATACACGTAGACGAACTCGGTGCCGTTGGAGAGGTAGATCTCGTTCTCGTGGCACAGCACCCGCGGCTTGCCCGCCACCAGCCCCCCCACCGGGCAGCAGAATCCGGCCAGGTAATCCACCCTGTGCCCCACCTGTGCCATGGTGCCGGCCTGGGGATGTGGGGAGGGGGCAGGGGGACACCGAGGGTGTGAAGGGCTGAGCCCAAAGCCCCGAGTTCTGGGCAGTGTGTGGTGACACAGCCCTGCAGATCCCCGTGCCTCTCTCAGAGCCCCCCAGCCCCCTACAGCACGTCTGGACCTCCAGTCCCCCCAGCCCCTGAGCCCCACAGCCCCTTCCCCCCTGAATGAGACCCTCATGCCCAGCCCCACAAACAGCCCCTTCCCAAGCATCAATCTCAGCCCCCCCATTTCCACCTCCACAGCCCCCAGACCCTCCCACATCCCAGTCCTCGTACCCTAGACCCTCCAGACCCATCTCGGACCCCCCCACATCACAGTCCTCGTACCCCAGACCCTCCAGACTCACCCCAGACCCCCCCCACATCACAGCTCTTGTACCCCAGACCCTCCAGACCCACCCCAGACCCCCCGACATCACAGCTCTTGTACCCCAGACTCTCCAGACCCACCCCAGAGCCCCCTACATCACAATCCTTGTACTCCAGACTCTCCAGACCCACTCCAGAACCCCCCACATCACAATCCTTGTACCCCAGACCCTGTCCCATAGCCCCCCTTCCCCGACTGAGACCCCCAGGGCCCCCCGAAGCCCAGCTCCACAGGCAGCCCCCCACCCCAGACCCATCCCCGCCCAGCCCACAGCCCCCCATCCCAACCCTCACCCCCCCATCCCGCCCCCCCAAATCCCTCCCGGAGGGGCCGCGGGTACCGGGCGGGGGGCGCGGGCGGCTCCGCTTTACGGCTGCGCGGCGGCCGCCGCAATGGGCGGGGGGGAGTTTACGACAGGCCGTAAAGCGGCGCAGGGCGGGGGGGCGGCTCCCGGGGATCGGTACCGGGAGGGGAGGAACCCCCGCCCCATGAGTGACCCCCTCCCCTATCCCGGCACGGGGGGAGAAAGGAGCGAGGCGGTGCTGGCGGCAGCGGATTTATTGATAGAGAGAGGAACCGGGTCCGGTCCTGAAGGGGGGCAGAGCCCCCCCGAGCTGACCCTGACCCACGGAGATGGACCCCCCCAAAAGTCTGGATGAGCCCCACAGCTTAAGACCCCCCTAAATGATGTCCTTACACTCTTCAGCCTGAGCCTCCTCAAGCCATGTCTCTTCCCCCCCGTCTTTCTGAAACCTCCCCTCTAAAGCGATGCCCCTGCTCCCCCAGCCGGGCTGAGACCCCCGTCCCGCTCACTGCGGGGTCCCGGGGATCCTGCGGGGGCTCTGCGGGATCCCCCCCCGGCGTGGAGGGACTGCAGCGCCCCGGGCCCGGCTCAGCTGCTCCACGGAGGCTTCGAGGTGGGCGAAGCGATCCGAAAGCCGGCCCAGCTGCTCCTTCAGGCCGCGGAAATCCCGGTACAGCTCGTCCAGGGCTCCCGACAGCGCCGGGATCCTGCGGGCGCAGCGGCGTGAGGACAAGGACCCCCAAATAACCCTCGAGGGACCCCAAATATCCCCCGAGGGACCCTCGGATTGCCCCACGGGCCCCATGGCCCCTCACCGGCCGTAGTCGGGCAGCACGGTCTGGTGGTCCGACAGCAGAAGGTTTCTCAGCTGGGACGTGATGGCGAATTTCCAATTGTCCAGAACCAGCGTCAGGTTGGCGCAGCCCCTCGCTGAGGGTCTCTGGGCTGGAGGGGCTGGGCTGGGACCACGAGCAGCCCCCAGGAGCCTCACCCAGCCCCTCACCTGGGACCCCTCCAGCCCCGGACAGGACCCCCCCACCCGGCCAGGTGCCCGGTCAGGCCCTTCCTCATGCCCGCACCCCGGTGGGAAGGGGGTCCCGAGCAGGAAGGGGGTCCCAAGGGTCGGGAATTACCATCAGCTCCATCGTCCCACGCCGCTGGCCGCCGGCCCGGCCTGGCCGCCCAGCCCAGAGCTGCGAGGAGCAGGAGGGGGAGCAGCCGGGCCATGGCGGGGCCGTGTCCCCAAGGTGTGCTGTCCCCCAGGGCCGGGCTGGGCAGGTGCCACCTCCCCGCTCCTGCTGCCGCGGCCGCTCGCCGGGCTGCGCTCCCCGGCTCTGGCTCCCGCCGCTCCCGCTCCCCCTTTTCCAGCCTGGGGCTGGCACCGGGCCCGGCCGCACGCGGCTCCGGGGCTGATTGCAAACAGACCGCGGACACGAGCCCGGACACACAGTCCCGCCGGGAATGTGGAGCATCCCAGCCCTGGCTGGTCGCAGGTGACAAAACGCAGGAGGCACGGTGCTGTGTCCCCCTGTTCCAGTGGGGAACACGGAGCATCCTGGCACAGATGATGGAGCACAGTGTTGGGGAACAGTGTCCCCCATTCCCATCAGGAACACAGAGTATCCCAGCCCCACCTGAGGCGACACAGGGTCTCCCAGATTCTACTCCATATACAGAGTATCCCAGCACCATCCTGGCCCAGGTAAAGGAGTGCAGGAGGCACACACTGGGGTGCAGCATTTTCCCATTCCTGTTGGGAATGTGGAGCACCCCAGGACAGGTGACAGAGTGCAGGAGGCTCTGGTTTGAGGTGCTTTTATTCCATGTTACTTGCAGCCCCCGCGCCTGGGTCAGCCCAGCCCGGCCCGGGCGCTCCCAGCGCTGCATCCCCAAACCCCAGCACACCCAGGGGAAAAGCAACCGCAGCCCGGAGCCGGGCCTTGGGATGAAGCCTTTGGAAAGCCCCAGCGAGGGGCGGGGGGTCCCTGCCCCACTGGGGTCTGGGCAATGCTGTCCTGGAGCAGGACACGCCCTCCGGACCCCTCCCATGAGGGGACACGGGGCAGTGCTGGAACCGGTGTCCCCGGGATTGAACCAGAGCCTGTGGAGCCAGGGCTGGGGAGCTCCAGGATGGGCCTGGGGGTCAGAGGCCCTGTGAGAGGAGGGCTGAGCCCCTCCAGCATCCACCTGCCCCTCTCCCCTGCTCAGCCATGCCCAGGGCAGCCCCAGCTGGGGGATGAAGGGAGGCTGGGGGGCAAGACCCCCGAGCCCCAGCTCCGGCCAGGACATGCTCTGGAGGGACGTGGGAAGGCACCAACTGGAGGACTGGTTCCCAGGGCACGATGGAGGCGAGGTGGGTGCCCGAGTTACGTGGCTGCCCCGCAACCCATCCCTGGGAGCCCAACTGTGCACAGTGGGGGGACATGGCACCCGGAGGGAACGCCCCTCCCTCAGCCCCCACAGGATGCCAAAGCTCACCAAGCAGTGCCAAGCCACGAGCTGGCATGTGCCCACCCCATGCTCAGTGTCCAGGGGTGCCTGTCCTGCTCTGGGAACATCACAGCCACCTGCCTGTGCCACCGAGGCAGGTCAGTGCCAGAGCTGTCGGGATCCAGGCACTCAGGCGGGCAGGGAATGAGAGCAAAGCTGTGGGCAGGGAGATGCCAAAGCCTCCCTCTCCCCTTGGGTAGGAAGTGGGCACGGGCAGCTCCCTAAGCCCCCCAGCTCCCCCAGGGCAGGCTGGCAGCAGCTGAGGATGGTGGGGGGTCAGCCCATGCATAGGCTGAGGAAAGCGTTGGTTGTCCGGGCTGGGAGCCCCCAAAAGGGAGCGAGGAGTAACCGGGGGGCTGGAGCCACCCGTGCCTGGCTCCACAGCCCGGGCTGGAAGCTGAAGGGAGGAGAGGGAGGGGACAGGCGCTGCCCGGCCGCTCCGGGTGGCTCCGGGCAGGAGCAGGGCTAGGAACGGGGCAGGCTGCACATCTCGCAGTGGTCCGTGCCCGGCTGGTTCATGAAGGTGCAGTGCTGGCAAGGCCACATGGCCGCGGCCACGGCGTGTGACGAGCCCCCCATGGCGCCGTATTCCTGCAGTCCCGGGAGCGGGACACCCACCGTGCCTGCGGAGAGAGCCCGGGGCAGTGCTGGGATCCCTCTGCACAGCCCACCCTGCTGCCCCCCTCGCCAGCCCTGCCCCTCCCTGCAAGTGTTCCAGGACAGGCTGGAAGGGGCTTGGAGCAACCTGGTCTGGTGGAAGATGGTAGGGGATGGAATGAGCTTTAAGATCCCTTCCAACCCAAACTATTCCATGATTACATGACCATGGAACAGCTTCCTCCCCACAAGCCTCCAGCAGCCTCTGTGGCAGCTTGGGAGTGGCTCCACACAACTCCCAGCCAGCTCTGCCAAGGGACAAGGGACCCCCTCCCTGAGGGACACCCTGCCCCAGGGACCCCCCTCTTACTGCAGAGCTGCTCGATGGTCGCCCACTGCTCCGATTTTTTCCAGGTCTGTGCAAGCTCCTCATTTTTGGTCCTCACGGCTTCCAGCAACAAGCTGATGCTGTCCTGGAAGTCACAGGTGGGAAATGAGCACTGGGGACCCCTCCAGTGCAAGGCAGGACCCTGAACCTGAGCTGTTCCCCCTTTCCCAACATTTTTGGGGTGCCCCTGTGTATCCCTCTGCTCCCTGGCATTCAGACAGATCCCAACACACCCAAACCTCCTTTCCTCTGCTTCCAGCAGGTATTCCCTACCCCTGCAGACCACTATCCTGGCACCGTGGGCCAGTCCCAACTCCCAGAGGAGCAATCCCTCCACGCTGGAGCACTGCAGCCCCCATCCCTGTTCCCATCCTGATCTCCAGCTGCCCATGGTGATCCCGGCTGCCTCGCACATGTGCAGCCTCTGGCAAGCACAGCCCAGCTGGATCTCACCAGGAAGCTCCGGCGGTGCCGGGGCAGCCGCCAGGCTCCCGGTGCCCGGCCAAGGGCAGCAGAGCTGCACAGCCAGGACCTCACTGGCCAGCCTTGAGTGCTGGGGGCTCTGATCTCCTTATTGTTCCCACCGAATTCCTGATTCTGAGATAATTTTTTAAAACATTTCCAGCTCTGGGAGCTGCAGCCAAGTTGGCTCTGGGATCATGTGGACAACCACCCCCCTCAGTGCTCCCAGCAGCTCAGGGGCTTTGTGTTTAGAGTTTTAAAAAGGTTTTAAAACTCTTTAAACCTTCTCCCAACAGCTTGGTCGGCAAGAGCCAGAACAAAGCCTTGCACAAGGTCACGGGATGGCAGGAA